ACACACAGCACAAATGAAACCCTGAAAATAATCCCGTCTGCTGCTTTTTTGGGGGGCTGCCCCACACGGGGGTTCCGCCTCATTACACCTCTGTGTATTCATGATATAAATCAGCCTGATGCTGGAGATGTGGGTTAAACGAACCCAAAAAACAGCCCTGAGCTCTCTTTCACCCCATCCAACTTGGGGGTCTCTCCCACCCGTCCCATTCCCCTGCAATTCTTTTCCTCTTGAAGAGCTGTAAAGAAACGTAACGGGTGATGACAGGAGAAACAAACCACACCGAAGTTACTGAGCCTCCTTGGGGCCTCTGAGCATCCCCACAGATGGCTGAGGGTGAGTTATTGCCCCACATCACAGAATCGTAGGGGTTGGAAGGGACCTCCAGAGATCATCCAGTCCAACCCCCCCCTGCCAAAGCAGGTTCCCTACACCAGGTCACACAAGTAGGTGCCCAGGTGGGTCTTGAATATCTCCAGAGAAGGAGATTTCCACAACCTCCAGCGTGGAGTTCCAGTGCTAAATTCCACCCTCACCTAAAGAAGTTCTTGCACACATTTGTACCAAACTTCCCATGCTGCAGTTTCTGGCTGTTTCCCCTTATCCTGTCTTCACACACTCCTAAAAACAGTCAGGCCTCGCCACTCTGCCCCCCACACCTCAGATAATTACAGACCTGGATCAGGACCTCTCTCAGTCTTCTTATCTCAAGGCTGAACAGACCCAGTTCGCTCAGCCTTTCTCCATAGGGAGATGCTCCAGGTCGTCCCCCATCTTTGTGGCCCTCAGCTGGACTCTTTCCAAGAGATCCCTGCCTTTTTTTTGGACCGGGGAGCCCAGAACTGAACACAGCACTCCAGTACCTCGCCATCACCACACACTTATGGATCCAGATGGACCCCAAACCTCAACCTCACCCCCCCCAGGGGGGGGGAAACAAACAGACGGGGGCTACAAGCAACGGGTGCAGGGGGAAGGGAAGCTTTAGGGGGGTTTTATGGGGCTGAGGGAGGGGGTCACACCCACACCCCCCCACCCCCAGCCCCAGGGATGGGGCAGAGCCCTCACAGGGCCTGGTGGGGCCCAACCAGGCCTCGGCGCAGCGCTGAGGAAGGCCGCACCGAGCAGAACCGGGCCTGAAGGCGGTTCCGTGCTGGCAAAGCCGTCTCAAAGCCATCGAGGCTGCTCAACCAGCTCCTGTCCGCCTTCAGGCCGACATCGCCGCCCCCAAAGCCCCCCCTAAGGCCGCCCTCAGGCCCGGCCCGAGCACCGCCGCTCCGCGCACGACGCTGCCCTGAAGAGAAAAGCGGCGCAGCCTCAGCGACTCACCCTATTGGCTGCCGCCACTTTGCGCCTCCACCCCCCCGCGCTCCGATTGGTCGATCGCACTGTCACTCAGCGCCGACTGTTAACACCTGCTTATACGCCGCCACGCCCCCGCCTCGCTCCTATTGGCCGAGCGCGCCGTCGCTCCCCGCCGAATCCCTCCCCTCCTCTGTCGCCATTGGACGAGTTTCCCGCTACTCGCCCCCGCCCCCCGCTGCTGCCATTGGCCCGCGCCGCTGCCAATTTCCTCGCCGGAGCCCGCCCCCAGCCTGCCTCCCATTCATCCGCCGCCCGCCGCCGCTACCTGTCCGGAGAGCGGCACCGGAGCGGCTCCGTCCGCCGCGCTCTCACCGCCCCTCCGAGCCGCCGCCGCTCCGCGCTCCGCCCGCCAAAACCCGGCCGCAGCGCGCAGGCGCCGCCAACCCCGCAGCGCGCATGCGCCCTCCATCCCCTCCTCAAGTCCCCCCTCCCCCACCTCAAGCTGCGCATGCGCCGAGCGCTGTGCACCTTGGGCGCTGCCGGGCGGGCGGCCCCCGCTCGCCGCCGATGCCGGGAGTCGCCGCCGATGCCGCCCGCCGCGCTGCGCAGTGCTCGCTGACCTCCGCCGGTCCCGCCGCGGGGCAGCGCTGAGTGACGGCGGGGCCGGCCAATGAGAATCTAGCCGCCGCCGCGCTAGCCAATGAGCAGGAGGCGAGAGGTGGGACCGCCAGCGAGAGAACAAATCGGAGGAGAGCTGGGGAGTCTCCGGGTCGGAGCGGGAAAAGCAGCGCGGGGCGGAGCCGCGCCAGCCTCGTCCAATCGACGAGGAGCAGAGGCGGGATCTCCCTCCTCCCCACCAATTAGCGGTGGCGGCGCGGGCGGAGCGGCCGAACGCGACCAATGAGCCCGCAGCGCTCCCTCCCGCTGCCCAATGGGAGGCGTCGCGGGGGCGCGGGGCGGCGGGCGCCGCCCAATGGGAGCGGCCGGGGGGCGGGCGTTCGGCGGGGGCGGCGGAGTGAGGCGGCGGCGCTCGCTTCGCTCGGCCCCTTTCTGTGTCGGCGCCTCGCAGAGGGAGCATCGCGCGCCGAGCCGCCCGCCGCCCAGCCCTCCCGGCCCCGCACCGCCGCCATGGCCAAGTCGGAGGTGAGTTCTCCTCTTTTCTTTTCCCCGCTCCGCTCCGCCGCCCCTCCGCGGCCTTCCCCGCCCCCGCCGCTCCTCTCGGCGCCGCGCGGGCCTCGCTCACTGCGCCTGCGCGGGCCTGCCGCCCGGCGCTCTGCGCGCATGCGCTGACTGCCCGCCTCGCGCCGGGGGGCCTCGGTGGCGCATGCGCAGCGCTCTCCCCCCCTCTCTCCCCCCCCACCCCCCTCTCCCCCCTCCCCGACCCGCAGCGCCCCGCGCGCCGCGCCACGTGCGCGCCTTTGTGCTCGGGGTGGGCGATGGCGGCCGCTGCGCATGCGCGGTGCGCAGGTCGGGTTCAGTGCAGCGCCGTTTATTGGGGGGGGGGGGGTTTGGAGGGGGGGCTGTCTTATAGGGCTCGGCATCACTAATGGGCCGGGATGAGGAGGGTTTGGGTGGGGGTGGGGGGTCTGAGCGTCCCCTGGAAGGGTTTGAGGGGGGTTCGGAGGGGTGGGGGGCGTTGTGGGGGGTTGTTTGGGGGGGTTGTGGGTCGCGCTGGGTGCTGGGAATGGAGGGTGGGGCTTTGCAGGGGTGCATGGAGCCCCATGGGATTCATCAGTGGGTGGGGGATTAACGTGAGAGTTGGTGGGAGGTGTCTGGGGCTGGGGGGGTGGCTGTAGGGGTGGGTGGGAGTAGGAAAGGTTTAGGAGCAGGAAAGGTTTGGGGGATGTAAAAGGGCGAGGGCCACCCTTGTAGAATTAATTTGGGGGTGGGAGACCTTTCTAGGAGTGGGTGGCATCATATGAAGGGCCTGGGGGGGGATAAGAGAATGAGGATCTCTGTAGAATTCAGCAGGGAGGGTTGGGGTGCTTGTAGGAGTGGGTGTGCCTATAGGAAAGGTCTTGTCTGGGGGGGGAGGACCTTCTCATGGGGTCCACATGGGGGTCAGCAGTGTCCATAGGAGCATTTAGGACTGTTGGAAGGGTCTGAGGGTAACAGAGGAAGAGGGCAGCGCAGGGGGGCTCCCAGGGAGGGGATTTGGATACAGAAAGACCCACTGGGGCTGTGGGGATAATGAGGCTTGTGTAAAGTGGGGTGAAGGGTGGGGAGAAGCAGGGGGTCCTATGGGATGGGGGGAGTGATGAGGGGTTTCTTAGGGTTGGGGTTGCCCTGTGGCACTCACCTCTATGCTTTTACCTTCCTGCAGTCTCCAAAGGAGCCGGAGCAGCTCCGCAAACTCTTCATCGGCGGCCTCAGCTTCGAAACCACAGACGAGAGCCTCCGCAGCCACTTTGAGCAATGGGGCACCCTGACCGACTGCGTGGTGAGTTCTGTGGGCTGGCTGAGGGGTGGGCAGCTCCTCCCCATCCCCAGGGGGACACTGCAGGGCAGTTGTCACCGCTCAGCCTCATGGGTGACGCAGCAATGGGGTCTGAGAGGGTGGGGTGGGCTGTGTGGAGCTGGAGGGGCTGATGGTTCCCCAGAATGTCCCCAGCTTGAGGCGTAGGGGCACCCTGAGGTGTGGGGGTGGTTCGTGGGCCCCTCAGTTGTATTCTTCTGTGTTTTAACGGGGTTCTGTCCTGCCAGGTGATGAGGGACCCAAACACCAAGCGCTCCCGGGGCTTCGGCTTCGTCACGTATTCATCAGTGGAAGAAGTCGATGCTGCCATGAATGCACGGCCACACAAAGTGGACGGCAGAGTCGTTGAACCAAAGAGAGCAGTGTCCAGAGAGGTAGGAAGGGAGCTGCTGCTGCTGTGGCCAAACCGTTCCAGGCCAAGCTGTGCCCGTCCTACAGAGCTCAAGCAAAGCTCAGCCATTCCCTCAGCTCAGCTACGCAGAGCTGGGACACCCCAGGGCTCCAAACCCACACTGCATTCTCCCCCGTAGGATTCGCAGCGACCCGGAGCCCATCTCACAGTCAAGAAGATTTTTGTGGGCGGCATAAAGGAAGATACAGAAGAGCATCACTTGAGAGACTATTTTGGCCAATATGGCAAAATTGAAGTCATTGAGATCATGACAGACCGTGGCAGTGGCAAGAAGAGGGGCTTCGCCTTCGTCACCTTTGATGACCACGACTCTGTTGACAAGATAGTCAGTAAGTGCAGAGCTCTGGGGGGGCCTGGGCTCGGTCCCATCACCCCATAACCCCCCCCTCCATCCCCGCAGTTCAGAAATACCACACTGTGAACGGCCACAACTGCGAGGTGAGGAAAGCCCTCTCGAAGCAGGAGATGGCCAGCGCCTCAGCCAGCCAGAGAGGTGAGCGCATCCACAGCCTTGCCTGCTGCTACAGCTCAGCCTGCTCCGTTCCTAAAGGCCATTTTTCCCCCCTGCTTTTTAGGCCGCAGCGGTTCTGGGAACTTCGGAGGTGGCCGTGGAGGTGGATTTGGTGGCAATGACAACTTCAGCCGCGGTGGCAACTTCGGTGGCCGTGGTAAGTGGCTCAGGTTGGGGACAGCCCCCAGCTGCAGGGATGCCGCCGGCCCGACCCAGAGCTCACACTCTGAACCCAAATGCCGCCCGCTGCTTCGGCTGCCACCACCCACCACCCACCCCCCACTTTTCCCCCCCGGCTGCCTGCCGGAGCTCCTCTCCTCCCTCCACGCCGTCTGAATTTTCACTCCAGCACCTTAAAAAACGCCGTTTTTTTCCCCCCCCTTCCCAGGTGATGGAACGGATTGAACACAACGGTTTGTTCTTTTCAGGTGGGTTTGGTGGCAGCCGCGGTGGCGGTTATGGCGGCGGCGGAGACGGCTATAATGGATTTGGCAATGACGGTAAGGCCAGAGCGGGATCTCTCTCCCAGGGGGCGGCTCTCGGCGCTCCCCACCGCTTGCCACGAGCCGAGGACGCCAGCCAGCCCCGTGGCCTGGCCCACACACCGCAGACGCAGCCCACCGCAATGCCGAAACCGGAGCCCGGCCTCCAAACGCCCGCAGGGACGGCTGGCAGAGCTCAGCGCCCTCCTTCCTCCTCTCCCACCAGGTTACGGCGGCAGCGGTCCCGGTTATTCCGGTGGCAACCGGGGTTACGGCGGCAGCAGCACCTACGATGGCTACAACAACGGCGGGGGGGGCTTCGGGGGTGGCAGTGGAGGCCGCCGTCCTGCCCGGGGACCCGCGCTGGCTGTGCGGAACGGCCTCTCTGAAGCTGGCACAGGTGAGCCACAGAGCCACGCTCGATCCCTGGGTTCTACATTTAAGGCACCTCCAGCCCTGGGCTGGCTCTTCATTCCCTGTTAAGTTCCAGCTGTAGGGCACGGCTGCTTGCAGTCCTTAAGTTCTAGCTATAGGGCACAGCTGCCTCTGCATTCCCTGTTCTGTCCCAGCTATAGGGCACAGCTGCCTTTTCATTCCCCCTTATGTCCCAGTCTATAGGGCACAGCTGCCTTTACACTCCCTGTCATGTCCCACCTATAGGGCACACTGCCTTTTCATTCCCCCTTATGTCCCAGTCTATAGGGCACAGCTGCCTTTACACTCCCTATTAAGTTCCAGCTATAGGGCACAGCTGTCTCTGCATTCCCTGTTCTGTCCCA